GTAATCATTAAAAATGATGATTTGCAGTACCGGTACAATCCAAATTTATATACTTGGCTTAAGGTACGTAACAGCTTCTTTTCTCTACTAAAATGTATTCTGATTTTTCCTTGAATCTCTGAAACTTTCGTTTTAAGCCCAAAATCAGTTGAAACGTGACCTTCATTAACCCTTTCATTGCCAAATTTAGCCAAAAGCAAATTTCCAAATTTCATTTTGTAAAATTTTGAAAAATAAATTGCATCATGTGTAAGTACAGGCAGAGAGCTTTCATTTGAGTGGTCACATCATAGGATTTCGTTCACAGACTCAAGAGTTAGAATCACCTTACGAAACTCCATCAAACACTCTGGCAGTGAAAGGGTTAAAGGAATTTGTGCCAAACTATTTTTCTATCTTTTTAAAAAATTTAAACGTGTTTTCGCATCAATTGAATTGCAGACATCATGAATTGTCTCCCCACCGCTGGGCGCGTTTGTGTTGTAGTTTCTCCATTTTAAGGCATCAAAGCTATAATTTCCTGTCGTCTGTTGCTACGGATGGCAATGGACCTGAAGAAAAATCGCCAAAAACTCATTATGGTTAGTGATCTCTGGTGAAATTTGTTTGGTGTCTTCTTCGTAACTCTACAGGCGCATTTTCTGAATGTGTAAAGGCACTAAGTAATGACTTCAGCATAAAATTGACCTTAAACAGCAATATCCTCGTGAGATGCTCCAAAAGGGAGGCTATGAACATGATACGTATACGAATCCCTCTTTACTTAATCCTTCCTAATACGGAGAGCTCTTGTAGTCTGATCCAAGGTTGTCCAATTTCATACATTCCTTACATCTGTCATTTTTTCATCTCTATAGTGGACATAGGAAATTGCCTCAGTGGTCTGCATGTAAGGGGTGTTTACATGACACCGTGACAACGTTCGCGCCGACTTTTGCGCAAGTTCACTCCATTTCCCTCTCATGGCTCTATAGTTGTTTACATGATACCACCACAAAATGTCATGCCGGCGCGAGTCACCCCGGCGTAAGTTTACCCGGTTATTGTACCTGAGCTAGAAATTCACTCCGGTACAAAATTTCGCAACGGTATCATGTAAACACGAAACGACCACCCGTTTCGGTGTGAAATCGGTCTGCGGGTGAACTGATCGGCCGGTAGCGAATACGTAATGTCTGCGATTTTGAATCGCACGTGTACTTTATCAACATGAAGTGTACCTTCAAATAACCGAGACATGAAATAACCCATCATCATGTAAACGCGATACGAAATAAAAAAGTCATCCCGGTATGAATCTCGCGCCCGGGGTTTCATACCGGGATGCCATACAAACAAAACATGCTTAGGGCCTGTTTACATGGAGTGGGGACCCCAGTCTAGTGGGGCTGGCTTCTTTTGTTTTCACGCTCTGGAGGACACAAAACAAAAGAAACTTACCCCACTAGACCGGGGTCCCCCACTCCATGTAAACAGGGTCTTAATTATAAAATTTAAAACTAATTGAGGCAAGGGAGCCCAAGGGAGCCAACAAGGCTTGTGAATAGTACCACCTTTAGAATTAAGTTATCTATTATTAATAAATATAACACTGACATCGCCAAGACAATTTAACTCTAAGCACGGAAATTTCTTTAGAACATAGAAAATAATCATTAAGTAGGATAAAAATAGATATGGCTGAACGTGTAAGTGCAAAATTAAAACGAAAAAAAAAGATGATGAGATAAAACAATGCAAGAATAAACGAGAAAAAAAAAATAGCGAAAGAAGCGAAAAACTACACACGATCATTAAGAGAAATAAAGCGTGCTTATAGCAAGAAAAATGACTCAAGTTTAGAATTAAACGAAGTAATACTAGAGGCATTCTGAATTTCAAAACTAAGGGAATTAAATATTTAGGGCCCTTGAAAACGAAATGAAAATTTCCTTATATTGGTCCTGCAGTAAGGTAAACGGAAGGAGTTCTTTATGAATGCACGTCACCGTTGAGCAAAAACATGTCATTAAAGCTATTAGGAAGAAGGCCGTCACCGTGTAAAGATACGTTACTTTACCCATTTGGAGTTTGATAACATCTTCAAATTTGAGAATTCGGCATCTCACAAAAATAGGATTGGCATGCGCATGTGCATCAGAATAACTACATTTATAAGCGACCTTTAATAGAAAAGGTACCCCTTTCGTATACTTTTCATAGACAAATAGTACTCCTTTCGCATACCTTGTTTAAAAAGCTGCATCCCAATTAACTGTTGTAAGTTAGCATGAATAGATCATTAAACCAGAAATTTCACTTTCACAGCTACTTAAAGCATCTGTTAGCCGTTTTAAGTTCTTTTACAGACCTAACTGATAGATTTGCCTACCCTTTCATATACTTCAACTCGGAGCCTCCCCGTTTACGCCATCTTAAGGAGTACCCATGCACACAGGTAATTAGTCCATATATGTTGCACGGTTCAAGGTCCTTCTACTTGTCTTGAGTAATTTCCGTTTCTAAGGTCATTCAACGCGAAAAATGAAACCAAGCGCTCTACAAGAGAAGGATTGAATTGCTGGTTTCGAAAAACCAGAAAGTAGACGTCCAGTCAACATTTAACATTCCTTTGAATTGTAGGCAAATTTGTATTAAAGGAGAAGGAAAAACTTCATCTTTGTAGAGGAAAGCTTTCACTAGGCAAAGCGATCCGCTCGACTAACTTTTCTGTATATGGAGATTTACAAGTATAATCATATGTCTCTCGTCTAAACAAGAAATATTGTCTTCTGTGCAGTATAAACTCATAGCTTGAATCAATTTTGTCATGCAGCTCTTTATTTCCATTTTTTTTAGCAGTTGTTCCTCGCCAATCTTCCTCTAGTGTTTGGTTATAGTTTTGGTCTTGGAAGGCATTTTGACGCTATTTTCGCCGGTGATACCTAAAACCGACCGTTCACTATTTTGTTTTCTTGCTGCTATCAATTATTGGATTATGTTTCCCTTTAATTCAAACTTTTTTATTTCTCCTGTTTATTAATTAATAATGATGTTGTTTTACCATCAAGGTACAGACCGGCTCGTGATCAACTCGCACATGAAAAACTTTCCTTGATCAAAAGGGAAGAAACCCCAAAAAGAATTTCGAGAAATGACGAAAGAAAAGTCTCTCTCGCCCGAGCCGCCTTCGGGTTAGGGGGTGGAGACAGCTCACATTTCAAACCAACGCGCAAAAAACATCCTTAGCATTGACGTTTATGCATTATTGAATTGGTAAAAAAAAAAAAACACTTTATTTCAGTGTCAATGTGTTTAGCACGAAAGTGCTACTCGAAGACACTATTTTTAATTGTGCTACTGGAGAGGGGTGGTACGTGGTCATCCGAGCCACGCGAAGGTCTAGCAGTTTGCCGGGCAAAGGCAGTACTACACCTTTGTTTCTCAGTTATTTTAAGACCACAATTTTGGTCCAGCCCCAACAAACGAACCCAAGACATCCCCCATTGCAGTAAAGGGCTCTACCGACCGATCTAATCCTGCCGCGGTTTTATTTTCTTCATGTATATGCCCCACCCAATTTAAACTGCAAATGCATAAAAGTGACTCCTAACTTACACAAAGGAAGTTCAACTTAATCTTGTCTTGGTAACTGTGTAGTAACCAAAACAGCGCAGACTGGTTGTTATATAGTTACCAAGACAATTATGAATTTGCTTTGTGTAAGTTGGGAGTCACTTTTATGCACTTGCAATTTTCATTGCGTGGGCCATATACATGAAGAAAATAATTATTGAATCGCTATCGGCCACCTGCGTTCCATAAGATGTTGATACGATTTACAGAAGCACTGATGAAAATTTCTTTAGCTTTTGTCGGTGACAGAGAATTTTACTCTTTACCTTTTTCTCTATTCTTTTCTTTATTTTACAGTTAGTTACCGACAATGTTTGCATTTTTGAGAACAGATCAACACAGGCACGTTATCATCTTCGAGCAGGTGCTTTGAAACAGATTATACATAGGTGTTCCTTCACTGTCCCTTTTCAACAGTAAAAAAATAACAATGGCGCGAAGACATTTTCTGTCAAAATTGACCATTAGATTGCTAAAATTGGCTAGAATAGACTTTATATTGAGGCATGTTTTCATTTAAAATGTGATCAATTCATAACGGCGAGCTTTGTTGAAACACAATTATGAACTAAATGCCCTGAAGCAATGATAAGAAACAACTTTGCGGTTGGCCGTAATAGGTTTACTGGCCACCAACATTGCTAGTTTTAATTGAGTGTTTAATTCAGTGCTGTCATTGGCTAGAAAAGACTTTGACTCACTGTCATCTGAAACAGGAAAATGTTAAGTTTCTTGTGGTTTTATGATATGTTACTATCACTTTACAAGTGTATAAATATTCAGGTTTACGAGCTCGTTCAAGAAAACTCACTCTTCTGGACCAAATGACGTCTCAACATTGAAATGTTTTCTCCATTTTTTCGTCGGTTCCTTTTCTTTGTGTTGTCTTCAAAGATACTTGGAGCACTGTATGCAGAAGGTTAGTTTGAAACTTCATTTTTGTTCTTTTTCTTCTTCTTTCTTATATTCTCACAATCAAAGCCGTTTAAAACTAGCTCCTAGACCGTAAGTAAAAAAAAAAGTGAAACATAACACTATTTTTAGAGAATTACAAAGCACAAAGAAAGATCTTTAATTGAAAAAAGATTCGAATATTTTAGCTAAAAGTGTATTCAAGAATAAGTTGAATTAAAAAATGAGTATCCAAAACCATTTATCTGCATGGCCACGTGTGGAAAACTAAGCGGCAGGTTCAAAATTTTAGTTTCCTGGTTTTTGGCAAGCGTAGATAAGTTAGTTTTCAAGGATTTACACATATTTTAAATCTTGAGGAGGAACAAATCAGTTAATAAATTTTTAGTTGAACTTATCACTTGAAGTTACCCGATTTTTGGCGTGAATTTTAGTCTGTTTCGTGGAATCACATTTTATTTTTTATTAAAATAGAATCGCATTCAACGCACCACTCAAATCATCTTCAAGATGTTTTTGTAAAAGACGAATACCACTTTTTAAACGTCCCTGGAATTGGAACGTTTACAGTGTACGACACCTTTGACTGCACCTTTGAATGCCTCAGCAATCCGTCCTGTTTGTCTCTGAACCTGGCCGTCTCCAAAGGAGACGATGGAAAATTTTGGTGCGAATTGTTGACTTCGAATAAAGACATCAACCCAGACGAATTCAAAGAAAACAAGACTTCTCATCACTTTGCTTTGAAGGTGCGAACATAGTTTGAATTAAGTAAGATCTAAATTATTAATTATCCCGTTGTGTCAAGATGAAAAACCTAAGCTAATTACGGATCTCAGAGTTTTAATAGAAAACTGTAAGCCTTATTCAGTAATTAGTAAAAACGTGAAAGCTAAATTTACCGTTAATTTCAGTGGAATAAAGTAAACAGTGACTTATTTTTGTTTCGCCAGGGGCAGACGATAGTATACTATTTCCAGAAATTAAGGCAAACGTCAATAAAGCGCTCATCTCTTAAAAGAGATGAGTCTTAGATTAGACTAGTCTTCTCTGCATCTTAAGGTGGCTGAACACAGTTTTGCGGGAAGTCAGTGGTAACTCGCGTGACGGTGCGTGTTTTAAATTAGACAAACAAATAGGTGGTTTTCACGTTACGTCATCGCCGCCATGCTGGTGGACGGTAAACAAAAGATCGCTCATTAGCTCGCTTTGTTTGTCCACCAGCATTTGTTCATTTCACCATTGTTATTTGTGTCTCCCGAGATTGCATGAAAACCACCTATACGGAGGCGAAAAAGTAACCGTACACAGAAGACGATTTCTCAAAATCTACTCATTAACAATTTGGTATATTTGGCAGAATTTTTCCTTTCATCGTATTTTAAATAATAAGAACTTTAAAATGGAAGTTGAACAGACGAATTTTGTGACACATTTAATAATTACAGTACAATTATATTATTGATGATCTTAAAACCCGTCCGTTAAAATTTGGTCAAATAAGTTTCAAATGGTAATGATTAATAGTAATAAGCTGTGTGCAAGTTTATAGGAAAATCTAATGAGCAATTTTGAGGCAAACTGAGCAAAAGTGAAACTTTAGGGTTGTATTCAATTGTTCATGTTGCCATGGAAACTACGAAAGCGTCAAATTTTCCCTGTCAATCAAAACGTTTCAATAGTATAGTTTTCATTTGCCAAGTTTCAGCTTGTGAGCTGCAACCTTTCTCTTAGCATGATTTAGCAAATGATATATAATCACAAACTGCCAAAACTGTGTTCAGCCACCTTAAGCGTTGCGTGACGAGACAAAAACGGCTGTGAGGGAGACTGTGGGTGAACTGATCAGATTTGAGCTGAGATTGAAGTTCCCACTAGTGGAAATTGGTGCAAACAAAACTGCAACGTTGCCTGTTTTGTCTCCTCCAGGGTAGGAACCGGCTGACATCCTGTGTCGAATATGGACAGCAAGGTTTCTACAAAGATGGCATTTATAAGATCTATGATAACGACGGAAACAGTTTCCCAAGCTACTGTGATCTAAAATCCGAGCCCGGTATTGCATGGACACTGGTCATGTCGTGGAGTAAAAAGAATCGTTTTATTTCTGCTTTTCGCAGTACCCCATTTCAATTCAATGCCCCGGAAAACGAGAACTCCCCGAACTGGGATCGTTACCGCTTAAGTCTGGAGCGAATGAGATCACTGCAGGTCCACTCCACCCACTGGCGAGCAACATGCAGCTATCCGACTCATGGCATCGATTTCACAGACTACCTCCGCGGCAACTTCAAAGACTTCAACATCGTCGATTTCCTTGGTAATGGCGAGTGTAAGAAGGTAGAATATGTGGATATCCGGGGGCTCAATGGCACGAACCTTACAGCACCGTTTTGGGCGAACTTCGGGGTGGGTTTGCATACTGACAGCTCTATCGATTTCTGCGAGCTAAATGCAACTGTTGGAGCGGTATCGAGTGAAGACAACTTTGGCTCCTATAACGGCATTAATCCCAAGTTCCGCTGCACACAGGAAGACAGCTCTACTACTCAGTGGTGGTTTGGAGCTCAATTTAAAAAATAGTGTCCAGAAAATGAAATTACACAGCTCCCATGTCAGTACGAAGGAGACCTGCAAATTGTACCACCTTTATAAACAGACGAAATGCATTCAGTATCAGTTAATTAGTACATTTAAATTGTTAAAGATGTACAGCCTTAAGATTAGAAACTCTTCTTTTTCGTTTATAACAGTGATTTTATTTTATAACTGTGAGGAGAAAGGCAAATTACAAGATTACATGTAGAACTACAGCCCGCAAAACCGTGGCACAAGTGAGGCCCACAAGTTTATAAGCTTTTAGCTATGTAGTGTTTTACTAAATAAAATGTTCACTTGCTCACTTCACATATCACCTAGTTTAGCAAATTGAATCCCTTTTACCTACTGTTTGAGCACTATGTTTTAAGTACTGTTCAAAACACTAGCAGGAGTGTATAGAGATACTCTCTTTTGTTTATCAGTGGTCACGCAGACTGTTAACCCCCCTCCTCCCCCCACGTTTCAGTGAATATTTCAAATGTAATCTTTCATTCAAATCTTTATGTAGCCTCAATTAATACCACCCAATATGGCTTACGCTCCCTGAAATTCACTGGTCCTCGCCTTTGGAACTCCTTTAGAATATTTCGTAAAACGGCCCTTAAAAACTCTATCCTCAATTGTTATTCTAATTAATTATCTACCTTAGCGCATGAAGAAATACTTTTTGAATTAAAAAAAAACCCATATTCTTAATTTTGTGTGTCATTGTATTTTATTGCAGGGGTCATCCACCAGATTAGCCTTTGCTATTTGGATGATCCAAATTCGCTATCTATTTTGTTGTTGCATTTTTCTTTTATTCCTTAGTTGTACTCTGTTTAGTTGCCTATGTAAATTTACCCTTTATGTCATATAAAACTGAGCCGAGTTTAATAAATCATCTTGTCTTGTCTTGTATTATCAGGTTTAAAAAGTTTAATAATTTTGGTCTAAAAATTGGACGAAAGTTTAGCCCACGTGTCTTTATCAGATACAATAACACTCATTAAAAATTAATTTCTTTTTTTTTTTTTCTTTATGAAGTATTAATTAGTTTTTGAAATAATGAAGACAACCAAACCGGGAATTTTCTCAACTTTTTCGTAGCCATAAAACCTTTTGTCAGCCTTTTTAGACCCTTTTACAGACCGAAATGACATTTTTCCCTACCCTCTTATATAAACAGTCAGCTAGTGAAATCCCTCGGGCGGAGCTTCCCCGTATAGGCCATTATAGGGAGTACTCCACCTGGCTTAGTGCCCTTTCCTGGCTCATTTATTTATACTTAACGGGCTTGGGAAACTTTGAAAAAAAAGAAACACAACAGGGCGGTAAGCAAGGTGATTCAAAGTTACGGATCCAAGCTATCATTAATCTGGAATAACATTTCTAGGGTAAATCAAGTAGATACTGAACTGTCTCCTTGCCTTACCTCTTTAACCCCTTGTGTTCACATATTTATTCTCCATATATTTCCTGAAAGTATTAGTAGAGAGAATTTGACAAAACATCAAAGCGCTTTCCCTGTTGTGATCATTTTATGAATTCTCATAAACCTTTCTCTTGATGGTGTATGAATGATGTCGAGAGAAAATTTGGTCAGTCTTGGCATGTACCAATTCAAAGTAGACAGACTACAAATTATATTAGTGGCTGAAAAATGTATATCTACGTGTGGCAAGTGTTCATCAGTAGGATACCTAAAACGCGTGCAATTCCACAATTGGTTTCGGCTCCATTAAATCCTATACCAATTGCAGAACATTTTAGGAGGAACCACCCACCATGTGAGCACAGTCAAGGACAACACGTAAAAGCACAGGTGGCCCAAGCGTAATATGGGCCTGTGGTGGCGTAATATGAGAGTTTGTATGGGAAAAATAGAGTTTCAAACTTAGATGAAATAAATGAAGTAAAAGCGATAAAAGTTATCAATAAAGTGTAAATATTGTTACCTGGAGTCGTTGTCTTTGTTTTTACGAAGTTTCAGCGCGATTTGAGTACTTTTACATCATCTGACCTGACAGTGTCAGTGTTACTTCATTTATTTCATCTAAGTTTGAAACTCTATTTTTCTCATACAAACTCTCATATTACGCCACCACAGGCCCATATTACGCTTGGGCCACCTGTGGTAAAAGTGAGGAAAATAACGCAAAGTAAAATTAAGACGTTAATTAACGAACTTAATGTACACGTCAATCAAATAAATAAACAAATAATGCGCGCGCTCAAAATAAAATTGTACCCGCACACGTACCGAGATACAACTGAAATACAACACTAACCAATAAATAAGTAATGTAAGGATACATCGCATTGTGGTGGGATTATTAACTTTTAAATCTGTGGTTAAAATTCTTTTGTACTTTCCTTTCAATGAACGAAAGTTCTTTGGCAGAACGTTTGAGAGGGATTATTTAGTTTTAACTATTTTACAAGACGAAATTGTATTTCTTTGGTGTGATTTCTTTTACTTTCACCGGTAAAAAGAACTGAAAAAGGGGTAATATCTATTCAATTTAGCCAACGAGCAGGCTGTCGAGTTGGGATTTCGCGCTACATTCGTTCGGTGTTGCCCATGCGAGATTTTACAACCCTGCAGGGGTGGGTTGGGAGGGTACACTCTAAGAACCCCCACGACCTAAACAAGCGATGAGCATTGGCAGCAGAGGATGAAGGAAGGCGCTCGATTGTAAAGAGGATTTTACATGTTAAATTTGATTACTGACTGAAGCTTAAAATGTTTACATTCCGAAACAGTCGACGACAGTAGGTGTTTGAGAAAAAGGAAACTAAGATCGGAGCTAAAAACTCACTCATCTTGCATTAATTTTTAGGACCCGCATTAAACACTTATTTCTTTTCACATTATTTTCTTTACGAATTATTTGAGACATTTTTTAAACATATTTTAGGGCTATAGGTATTCGCAAAAATAGACCAAAACATTTCGATAAATTAAAAATTTGTTAAAATTCATTCTTGGCTCCGAGCCTTGGATAACAAAAGAAATCACCTTGAAAAACAGGGATGAATAATATATTTCTTTTGTTTTATTTCTCCAATCCTCAAAGCTAAGAATGAATTTTAACATATCTAAATTGGTGTATTAGGGTTTGAAGATTAAAAAGTACAAACCTTAATTCTAGTCGAGGACCTTATACCAGCTAAATTAGCCGGCGATCGCTCAAAGAAATTTTATCGTTGCCTTTTATTAGTAACTATGAACTATCTTGAAAAAAATATATATTTACAAATTATGTGCAACATCAACCGCAAGTAAAAAGTAATTTAGTCCTATTTTTCCTTGCCAAGTCGCTAGGCCTAATTATTCCGCGCGGTCTATGCGTTTCGGGTCACGTAATATGAGAGAGTTTCGCCTCAGACACGTCACCAAAATACATTGGACGAGAAGGCCTGAGGAGATGCCTCACAGGTACTAGGCACTATTTTCCCTTCAACGCGGTAGGGAATGGAGAGACCGCGGGCTCACCACTGGAAGAAACGCCCAGCATATAACATTCTCCAGTAATGTACAAAACGAACATTTGTTTAACCCACGGCGACATATTTAACCCGAGACAACCCTAAAGACTTTTTTCCATATCCAGGTGACGGCGCGTGTTTTAAATTAGACAAACAAATACGGAGGCGAAAAAGTAACCGTACACAGAAGACGATTTCTTAAAATCTACTCATTAACAATTTGTTATATTTGGCAGAATTTTTCCTTTCATCGTATTTTAAATAATAAGAACTTTAAAATGGAAGTTGAACAGACGAATTTTGTGACACATTTAATAATTACAGTACAATTATATTATTGATGATCTTAAAGTGCTACTACGATCAAATTTGGGAATTTGTTTTTGATTACATATTTCGAAAATGTATGTAAAAGTGACTTACCGTGCCAAGTTTGGAGTCCAAATATGATCTGGAAGTGTGTTTATTTGCACGGCAATTTTCGTAAATGTCTTGCCGCCATTACTCGATTCAAAAAATGACCGGGAGTAGTATTTGAAGGAGTTGGGGCGAGATGTGACGTAGAAAAATTCAACGCGACAAAGCCAGGTAAACAAACATGGCTAATTTCGCATGCAGGACGAGATATTTTGGAAGCTTTTGGAGGTTCTTTCTTCGCTTTTTTGACTTAAAGCGAAAGTATGCCTGGTAGACGTTGTGTTGTTCAGGACTGTGGAAACGTAAAGAACGATGAATTCTCCTGATTCGGGCAGCGTTAGATTAAAGTGGAAAAGGTTCGTGTCCATTCATCGGAAGGATTTCAACACAGTGGGAAAATTTGCTGTGTGCTCGGAGCATTTTACAAGGGATTGTTATACGCTTGCTTTTCCGATGAAAGGCATGAAAAGGAGTTGGAAGAAGGGGACGTTTCCAACCATTTGGAAAAAATCCTCTCAAACACTATCAAAGCGGACTCGACGATCGGTGAGTGAAATTACAATGTATTTGCGCTGTGCTTATCATATTTATTTCCCCATTTACCTGTGACATGATTTTTTCTGGCATCGTTGTTCAATATGAATGCTCTGACTATTTGGACTTCCCATATTGTTGCATGTGTTTTCATACTTTTCTGCTTTCTTCTCATAGTTATAGTAAAACGGGAATTTGCGCTGAGTGGACGTGAAGTCAATTCCCCAATTCCCAGACCTTTCCACTCAAGCGTAAAATTTAGAAAAAGTGAAGCTACATAGAAATCCGGCTCTCTATTTTTTGAGAGATTATCCTGCTGTTACTTTGAGATTTGACAGTACTCCAAACTTCCCTCCAAGAAATCTTACAGCAAATTAGGAGTTACACGCGAGTCTTTTAAAACGACCAAAAATGGACTTAGTCTGATTTTTACATTCTATAAGTTCAGTTACTGTTTGCGGGTTTTTTTTCGTTTGTATTTTAATTCTATTTTCACTGTCTGCAAATGATGCATACATTTTATGGCAAAGATGCAGTTAAACCTTGCTTCCATTTCTACTTTTGAAAACATCGACATAAAGCTCAAATTTAAACTTGTTTTGAAGGGGAGATATAAAAAATGGTCCTACCTATTTTCATTTTTAGCTACTAAATGAAATTCTGGCTGGTCAAACTACTAATGAGGATACAGAGGAAGAAGACAATCCTGAAGAAGAGGTGATCTCTCTGAAAGGAAGTTCTGCACCTGAGGAGAGTGCTGACACTATGGGGGCCCCCAATCTCAACCCTGAGGAGTCTCCAGAAGTCGAGGGTGTTCTGAACACAAGTCAGGGTTCTTTGCTTGAGGTAAATCCTGAAAAGGAGGACTGCATCCCTGAGACTGAGACGGGTGAGATAAGTGTTGATGCTGAGATGACTTCAGAGGTCCTAGGTACTCCTGGTGATAAGACAACTCTCGAGAGCCAAGGGATTTCCGGCACTGATGATGTTACTGAGACCATGCAGATCCTGGAGGCTCAGGGAATCGAAAAAGTGCAGAATATGGATAAGTTATGCAGATTGATGAATCATTAGCAATTCCTGAACTTGAACAGGTTTCTATGGTAGGCGCATAACTCTAATTAATGTTTATTTGCATCTTTGTATTATCATAACAATGGAAAACTACATGTGCAGTTATTTTACAACAATACTAAAACACAAAAATTCTGAAGTCTTGTTATTACAGCCTGTATTAATGTTGAAAGTTTGTTTTTTGTAGGATACTCCAACTGGACATGCTGGGAACTGCACAACATGCAAAACCCTGAGGAGTGAGGTGACTCAGTTAAGGGGCAAAGTCACAAGACTGAAGAGTAAGTTAATCTCCAATCAAGATCAGTGGGTTGAAACCTTTAAGAGCATACAAGAGCCGAAGCAGTTGCCGATGGTGAATGCTGGTGAGTCAACAATAATTATTGATGTTGATGAGTCATATAGGCATAACTGCCTATCTTTATATTTTTATTACATTTTATCAATGTTTGATTATTTAATAATAATTAAAATTTTAATGGTAATAGAATTTTTTTAATTCCATTTGTTTAAGCTATTCAAACTGATCCATGGCCAGTAACAAATGAGACAGAGTTAGGGCTAGAGGATGAATCAGAAGATGAGCAGGAAATGCAGGACGACGCGTATGAGGAGTTTGAGTGTGATGGAGACCCTACATGGAGTCCTGAAGGAATCGAAGATGCATATAAAAAACTAAAGGAAGATGATGAATCGGTGAAGACTCATCAGAACCCAAGGTACAAAGATGCAAAATTTATTGCATTTTAACATCTTAGCTCTAAGCATCCTCTGGGAAGTGATTTAGGCCTAAAACTAACTTCCATTATGAGAGGATCTATTTAGAAACAAGAGTACATGAAATTTGTTTTTTAATTTACTCAGATAAGAATTGCAAAAAAAAAAAAAGAAGAAGAAGAGGCATAGCCAGCCCATAGACTGGAAGTCCCAGGCCTAAAAATGTTTGGTTTGTCCACTCAACCCCTTGTAATAAATTATGCATCGTTGGGGTGGGCTAGATAGCTTAAGGGCTCAAAGTTGTCATGTGTGCAATCAACAGAATTATTATAAAAAAGCATTTTTCAGGATGTATGTGAGAGTAAAATCCCAACCCACGATTAGCCAGGTTTACAACAAGTTGAAAAACTGGCAACACCCTGAGAAAAACAATAAAAATGATAATCATTTTTTTTATTGTTATTTTATTATTTCAGATGCTATGATTAAATGAGTATTTCCTTTCCATCATTTTTTACAGGTTGGATCTACAAGGAAAAAACATTCGAGAGGAACCAAAGGGAATTGTTTTCCTTTCCAAACTTCTTCTTTTGTATCAGTTCTGCCACTTGTGCTTCTTTTCAAAACCCAAACTTTCTGTATCACAGACAGGTACCTTGTTTACCGTAGAAAGTTTCTGCAGAAACTGTAGCCAGACAAAAGTCTGGAAGAGTCAACCAGACCTGCTAGGAAAGTTTCCAGCAGGTAACCTGCTATTAAGTTTTGCAGTGCTCTGTGAGCCGAGTGAAAAGAAAGAAACGATACATTAAAACTGTAATTAAATTCAGGCTGAATTCGATTTAATTTTTATTACTTGTGTACATGAAAATTGGAGCAACATCAGAATTCCCAGCCACTAAACTTGAGTTTAACTGAACGCTAGAAGAACAGGGCTTCACACAGTGGGCAAGTTTGTCATTCAACAAAAAGCAAGTAAGTGGCTGAGAATTCTGAAGTTTGGCCCATAAAATTAAGTGTTTACGGACAAGTATTCACGCAACTACTGTAGGTCCTTCTTGGCCCCAATGGCATACATGACACTCTTCAAGAACAAACAGTGCATTTATTATTCATTTTCTTCATCTTCAAATCCACGATAATGGCCATTTTGACTCGGAAATTTTTTCCTGATTTTATTGTAGGCACAACAGGGCAAGGGGTATCGCCTGGAACTACCAATATAACTCCACAGCAGTCTTGTAAATTGGCGATAGGCCACAGACCTCAGGAATCTAGTTAGAGAAATGAGATCACTGTTAATTCAAGGAGGGATTGGATGGAGATAAATAAATACTCCTTTTAAAAATAAGCAGTTGGGGCAATAAAGCCATTTAGAAAATAAAAAATGTGATTCTATGAGATCAGTCCACGGCGATAAGCTTAGATGTATCAATTATTCAATGCTATGTACGGTTCGATCGTTCCGATACAAAGTCAACAATACCCCAACTTACTCATTATCACTTTTGTTGCTTTGCCCACGAACAGTTGTGTACGACTTTCCAGCTCGCGTTTTTAGGCCCAGTGCAGCCACTTCTAATACGTGGCGGTTTAAGCAGACGCTTTCAAACCCTGGATGGAGGGTTATGTATAAGGTCCGGTCTCCAATGGCTTCTTCCATGACCTCTTCGCAGCGATCGATCTCTTTCCACAAATGCACTCCTGCGCTTTTGTAACAAGGCTGACAGAGCAGTTCGAGCACGAACACCTGCAAAATGATGTGAAAAATTCGTCAAACACAAGAAAAATTCGTCTGTATAAAATCATTAATTGTCTGACCTCTTCAATAAAACTATCGTATAAAATCAGGACTACAGTTAATCACATAGCAACGAAATTGTAAACTTAAACAAAAGACACAGTCGCGTTCCTCACGCGCACGATTTAACGACGGGTATGTTGAAATTGGAAAATAAAAATATAAATCTACATTCCATGATAATACCATACCATTCATTCGCTGGCACCTCTCCCAAATATCTTCGCTGAAACTGTTGTTCCTCTTCTTCTTCGCGATGAACTCTTTCGTTGTAGCAGGTTGTAGTCCGCGGCTTCTTCCTCGGTAGCAAGGGGTTGCGAACTGTCGTCGTACGGCGCAAATTCAGACAATTGCCCCATTACTTCGTCAACTATAAAACGTTCTAGATCACTTTCAGATGTGCAGGAAGAGGAATCCGACGGAGATGACATCTTAAACGTCTTGTTAAAAGGCTCTAAACTCACAAACTTTTCCCAAATGCGAATCTTTTGGTTGATGTTTCTACGTCACAGTGCATAAATCACGTGGTCAAACGCACGACCGCTTTGCCGAGATCTCGCGGGCTATTGCTTTGCGAACTTTGTAATGGCGGACGGTACTTACGCACTTTTCAGTGGGAAATTTCCAGCCCCCGTACGCAAGTATCGTTCCAATTTTTCGCTATTTGTATAATTTTGAACATATACAAAAGATTTATGTTAAAAAAACTCGGAAACAAAAACAAAAATTTTCGTCGTAGTAGCACTTTAAAACCCGTCCGTTAAAATTTGGTCAAATAAGTTTCAAATGGTAATGATTAATAGTAATAAGCTGTGTGCAAGTTTATAGGAAAATCTAATGAGCAATTTTGAGGCAAACTGAGCAAAAGTGAAACTTTAGGGTTGTATTCAATTGTTCATGTTGCCATGGAAACTACGAAAGCGTCAAATTTTCCCTGTCAATCAAAACGTTTCAATAGTATAGTTTTCATTTGCCAAGTTTCAGCTTGTGAGCTGCAACCTTTCTCTTAGCATGATTTAGCAAATGATATATAATCACAAACTGCCAAAACTGTGTTCAGCCACCTTAAGCGTTGCGTGACGAGACAAAAACGGCTGTGAGGGAGACTGTGGGTGAACTGATCAGATTTGAGCTGAGATTGAAGTTCCCACTAGTGGAAATTGGTGCAAACAAAACTGCAACGTTGCCTGTTTTGTCTCCTCCAGGGTAGGAACCGGCTGACATCCTGTGTCGAATATGGACAGCAAGGTTTCTACAAAGATGGCATTTATAAGATCTATGATAACGACGGAAACAGTTTCCCAAGCTACTGTGATCTAAAATCCGAGCCCGGTATTGCATGGACACTGGTCATGTCGTGGAGTAAAAAGAATCGTTTTATTTCTGCTTTTCGCAGTACCCCATTTCAGTTCAATGCCCCGGAAAATGAGAACTCCCCGAACTGGGATCGTTACCGCTTAAGTCTGGAGCGAATGAGATCACTGCAGGTCCACTCCACCCACTGGCGAGCAACATGCAGCTATCCGACTCATGGCATCGATTTCACAGACTACCTCCGCGGCAACTTCAAAGACTTTAACATCGTCGATTTCCTTGGTAATGGCGAGTGTAAGAAGGTAGAATATGTGGATATCCGGGGGCTCAATGGCACGAACCTTACAGCACCGTTTTGGGCGAACTTCGGGGTGGGTTTGCATACTGACAGCTCTATCGATTTCTGCGAGCTAAATGCAACTGTTGGAGCGGTATCGAGTGAAGACAACTTTGGCTCCTATAACGGCATTAATCCCAAGTTCCGCTGCACACAGGAAGACAGCTCTACTACTCAGTGGTGGTTTGGAGCTCATTTTAAAAAATAGTGTCCAGAAAATGAAATTACACAGCTCCCATGTCAGAACGAAGGGGGCTGCAAATTGTACCACCTTTATAAACAGACGAAATGCATTCAGTATCAGTTTCATTAGTAGATTTAAATTGTTGAAGATGTACAGCCTTTAAGATTAGAAACTCTTCTTTTTCGTTTATAAGCAGTGATTTTATAGTTAAGTGCAACATTTTTCATTGCTTGATTGACCTCTCTATCTATAATTGTGTGATTTTTTTTAGTATACATTACTTGAGTCATCACGGAATATTAACGGTTAAAATGGGGTCAAAATGCCTAAAGAGAGTGAAGAACAACGGTTATCGGCGGTCGTTTCGATACAAGTTAATACCTTTAAGGTGTAAATAGTTTCACGTACTTGGATTATAGATGGAAGAATATTTGTCCAAAATGTTTTCTTTTTGAATTGCAAACTTTACTTGAAGTAATCGAAAATTTTTGTGCAGTTTCACTGCATGAGTTCGTATCGAAACGACCAGTTTCAAAAAAATAGGTTTGTCTAATAATATTTGAAAAACTTCTGGGATCGCTCTGAAGAAGTTTGCATTGTATGTGCGTTAACTAGTGACTAGTTATGAGGTAAAAACCAACTGTAAGAGTAAACACTGATAATTGTAACCATTATGAAATTATGGAGATTAACCCTTTCACTGCCAAATGTGGCCAAAGGCAAATTTCGACCAAATTTGCAAATTTCATTTTCTAAAAATTTTGACAAACAAATTGCATCATGTGAAAGTACAGGCAGAGAGCTTTCATTTGAATGGTCACATCATAGGATTTTGTCCATAGACTCAAAAGTTACAGTGACCTTACAAAACACCATCAAACACTCTGGCAGTGAAAGGGTTAAGAACTGTGAGGAGAAAGGCAAATTACAAGATTACATGCAGAACTACAGCCCGCATCACCGTGGCACAAGTGAGGCCCACAAGTTTACTAGCTTTTAGCTATTTAGTGTTTTACTAAATAAAATGTTTACTTGCTCACTTCACATATCACCTAGTTTAGCAATTTGATTCCCTTCTACCTACTGTTTGTGCACTATGTTTTAAGTACTGTTCAAAACACTAGCAGGAGTGTATACAGATACTCTCTTTTGTTTATCAGTGGTCACGCAGACTGTTAACCCCCTCCTTCCCCCGTTTCAGTGAATATTTCAAATGTAATCTTTAATTCATTCAAATCTTTATGTAGCCTCAATTAATACCACCCAATATGGCTTACGCTCACTGAAATTCACTGGTCCTCGCCTTTGGAACTCCTTTAGAATATTTCGTAAAACGGCCCTTAAATACTCTATCCTCAATTGTTATTATAATTAATTATCTACCTTAGCGCATGAAGAAATACTTTTTGAATAAAAAAAAAACCATATTCTTAATTCTGTCTGTAATTGTATTTTATTGCAGGGTCATCCACTAGATTAGCCTTTGCTATTTGGATTATCCAAATTCGCTATCTATTTGGTTGTTGTATTTTTCTTTTGTTCCTTAGTTGTACTGTGTTTAGTTGCCTATGTAAATTTAGCCTTTATGTCATATAAAACTGAGCTGAGTTTAATAAATCATCTTGTCTTGTCTTGTATTATCAGGTTTAAAAAGCTTAATAATTTTGGTCTAGAAATTGGACGAAACATTCATTAAAAATTAATTTCTTGTTTTTTTTTTCTTTATGAAGTATCATGTAATTAGTTTTTGAAATAATGAAGACAACCAAACCGGGAATTTTCTCAACTTTTTCATAGCCATAAAACCTTTTGTCGGCCTTTTTAGACCCCTTTACAGACCGAAATGACAGCTTTCCCTACCCTCTTATATAAACAGTCAGCTAGTGAAATCCCTCGGGCGGAGCTTCCCCGTATAGGCCATTATAGGGAGTACTCCACCTGGCTTAGTGCCCTTTCCTGGCTCATTTATTTATACTTAACGGGCCTGGGAAACTTTAAAAAAAAAAGAAACACAACAGGGCGGTAAGCAAGGTGGTTCAAAGTTACGGATCCAAGCTATCATTAATCTGTAATAACATTTCTAGGGTAAATGAAGTAGATACTGAAATGTCTCCTTGCCTTACCTCTTTAACCCCTTGTGTTCACATATTTATTCTCCATATATTTCCTGAAAGTATTAGTAGAGAGAATTTGACAAAACATCAAAGCGCTTTCCCTGTTGTGATCATGTTATGAATTCTCATAAACCTTTCTCTTGATGGTGTATGAATGATGTCGGGAGAAAATCGATTTGGTCAGTCTTGGCATGTACCAATTCAAAGTAGACAGACTACAAATTATATTAGTTGCTGAAAAATATATATCTACGTGTCGCAACTGTTCATCAGTAGAATACCTAAAATGCGTGCAATTCCACAATTGGTTTCGGCTCCAATAAATCCTATACCAATTGCAGAACATTTTAGGAGGAGCCACCCACCATGTGAGCACAGTCAAGGACAACACATAAAAGTGAGGAAAATAACGCAAAGTAAAATTAAGACGTTAATTAACGAACTTAAATAAACAAATAATGCGCTCGCTCAAAATAAAATTGTACGCGCACACGTACCTATAACCAATAAATAAGTAATGTAAGGATACATCACATTGTGGTGAGATTATTAACTTTTAAATCTGTGGTTAAAATTTTTTTCTACTTTCCTTTCAATGAACGAAAGTTCTTTGGCAGAACGTTTGAGAGGAATTATTTAGTTTTAACAAGAGAGGATAAAGGGGACAGAGAAGGCATCCTCCATACACACCCTATTCCATTAGTAATTCGTCTCGAGTTATTTTTAAGACCACAGATCCCAAGGGGGATTAGGCAACAGCCAATCACATAGCGCGAATGTGTTCCGCGTGGATGACCCACGTTCAGAGCCACGCGTCCTTCACGAAAATGGTGGAAGACGCGGAGAGCAATATTGCTATTCGTTTTGTCGACGAAAACGACTAAAGAAGAGATTTCTGCTAAAGCTGTGTCAGCGAAACGGAAATTAAAAACGAATCACCCTTCATCGCTTGTATAAAGCTAACAGTACAGCAGGGAAATCCTTAGCACAGTGAATATTCTCTCAGGATCATTTGAAGAGAGCAATTTCTGGTTTGATACTTATTCTTTTATTAGTCTTTTATTATTCAACAAAAATAACACTTGGCGTCCTATAATAATAATAATTTAATAACTTCTAGAGCGCTATTTACATTCACTGATCAACAGCGCTTAACAACTTAAAAAAAACTACAATAAAATTCAAATTTGTAAAACTAATTACATGTAAATGAATATTACTTGCTACTTGCTTTATTGTAAAACGACCGGTTTCAATAGACCGGCGAAATTTTTCATTTTATTAAAGAACTGAGGTTACGATAACTTCGAGTTAAACTGATTTCGCGGGTTGTCAAAGAGTCGAGCGATTCCCTTTTCCCAGGTGAGCGCCGACTCATTTCGCTTCAATATTCAGAAATGCTCTCGATCTCGTTACGCTTTCATTGCCTTTCGCCCGACATGTTTTGCATGGCGTTTAGTCATGCGAAACCTCCACGAAACATCCACGCAGCGCGCGAGGTAACTTTATCCCGATAATAAAAATAACTCGAGACGAATTACCTATGGAATAGGGTGTGTATGGGGGATGCCTTCTGTGTCCCCTTTATCCTCTCTTGGTTTTAACTATTTTACAAGACGAAATTGTATTTCTTTGTTGTGATTTCTTTTACTTTCACCGGTAAAAAGAACTGAAAAAGGGGTAATATCTATTCAATTTAGCCAACGAGCAGGTTGTAGCCTGCGTGGCAGGCGTTTGAAAGGGAAGGGAAAGGGAGTTTTAGGCGCGAGAGAAACGTGAGGGACGCGCGAGGAAGGAGATGGCATTTATAAGATCTATGATAACGACGGAAACAGTTTCCCAAGCTACTGTGATCTAAAATCCGAGCCCGGTATTGCATGGACACTGGTCATGTCGTGGAGTAAAAAGAATCGTTTTATTTCTGCTTTTCGCAGTACCCCATTTCAGTTCAATGCCCCGGAAAATGAGAACTCCCCGAACTGGGATCGTTACCGCTTAAGTCTGGAGCGAATGAGATCACTGCAGGTCCACTCCACCCACTGGCGAGCAACATGCAGCTATCCGACTCATGGCATCGATTTCACAGACTACCTCCGCGGCAACTTCAAAGACTTTAACATCGTCGATTTCCTTGGTAATGGCGAGTGTAAGAAGGTAGAATATGTGGATATCCGGGGGCTCAATGGCACGAACCTTACAGCACCGTTTTGGGCGAACTTCGGGGTGAGTTTGCATACTGACAGCTCTATCGATTTCTGCGAGCTAAATGCAACTGTTGGAGCGGTATCGAGTGAAGACAACTTTGGCTCCTATAACGGCATTAATCCCAAGTTCCGCTGCACACAGGAAGACAGCTCTACTACTCAGTGGTGGTTTGGAGCTCATTTTAAAAAATAGTGTCCAGAAAATGAAATTACACAGCTCCCATGTCAGAACGAAGGGGGCTGCAAATTGTACCACCTTTATAAACAGACGAAATGCATTCAGTATCAGTTTCATTAGTAGATTTAAATTGTTGAAGATGTACAGCCTTTAAGATTAGAAACTCTTCTTTTTCGTTTATAAGCAGTGATTTTATAGTTAAGTGCAACATTTTTCATTGCTTGATTGACCTCTCTATCTATAATTGTGTGATTTTTTTTAGTATACATTACTTGAGTCATCACGGAATATTAACGGTTAAAATGGGGTCAAAATGCCTAAAGAGAGTGAAGAACAACGGTTATCGGCGGTCGTTTCGATACAAGTTAATACCTTTAAGGTGTAAATAGTTTCACGTACTTGGATTATAGATGGAAGAATATTTGTCCAAAATGTTTTCTTTTTGAATTGCAAACTTTACTTGAAGTAATCGAAAATTTTTGTGCAGTTTCACTGCATGAGTTCGTATCGAAACGACCAGTTTCCAAAAAATAGGTTTGTCTAATAATATTTGAAAAACTTCTGGGATCGCTCTGAAGAAGTTTGCATTGTATGTGCGTTAACTAGTGACTAGTTATGAGGTAAAAACCAACTGTAAGAGTAAACACTGATAATTGTAACCATTATGAAATTATGGAGATTAACCCTTTCACTGCCAAATGTGGCCAAAGGCAAATTTCGACCAAATTTGCAAATTTCATTTTCTAAAAATTTTGACAAACAAATTGCATCATGTGAAAGTACAGGCAGAGAGCTTTCATTTGAATGGTCACATCATAGGATTTTGTCCATAGACTCAAAAGTTACAGTGACCTTACAAAACACCATCAAACACTCTGGCAGTGAAAGGGTTAAGAACTGTGAGGAGAAAGGCAAATTACAAGATTACATGCAGAACTACAGCCCGCATCACCGTGGCACAAGTGAGGCCCACAAGTTTACTAGCTTTTAGCTATTTAGTGTTTTACTAAATAAAATGTTTACTTGCTCACTTCACATATCACCTAGTTTAGCAATTTGATTCCCTTCTACCTACTGTTTGTGCACTATGTTTTAAGTACTGTTCAAAACACTAGCAGGAGTGTATACAGATACTCTCTTTTGTTTATCAGTGGTCACGCAGACTGTTAACCCCCTCCTTCCCCCCCGTTTCAGTGAATATTTCAAATGTAATCTTTAATTCATTCAAATCTTTATGTAGCCTCAATTAATACCACCCAATATGGCTTACGCTCACTGAAATTCACTGGTCCTCGCCTTTGGAACTCCTTTAGAATATTTCGTAAAACGGCCCTTAAATACTCTATCCTCAATTGTTATTATAATTAATTATCTACCTTAGCGCATGAAGAAATACTTTTGAATAAAAAAAAAAACCATATTCTTAATTCTGTCTGTAATTGTATTTTATTGCAGGGTCATCCACTAGATTAGCCTTTGCTATTTGGATTATCCAAATTCGCTATCTATTTGGTTGTTGTATTTTTCTTTTGTTCCTTAGTTGTACTGTGTTTAGTTGCCTCTGTAAATTTAGCCTTTATGTCATATAAAACTGAGCTGAGTTTAATCAATCATCTTGTCTTGTCTTGTATTATCAGGTTTAAAAAGCTTAATAATTTTGGTCTAGAAATTGGACGAAACATTCATTAAAAATTAATTTCTTGTTTTTTTTTTCTTTATGAAGTATCATGTAATTAGTTTTTGAAATAATGAAGACAACCAAACCGGGAATTTTCTCAACTTTTTCATAGCCATAAAACCTTTTGTCGGCCTTTTTAGACCCCTTTACAGACCGAAATGACAGCTTTCCCTACCCTCTTATATAAACCGTCAGCTAGTGAAATCCCTCGGGCGGAGCTTCCCCGTATAGGCCATTATAGGGAGTACTCCACCTGGCTTAGTGCCCTTTTCTGGCTCATTTATTTATACTTAACGGGCCTGGGAAACTTTAAAAAAAACGAAACACAACAGGGCGTTAAGCAAGGTGGTTCAAAGTTACGGATCCAAGCTATCATTAATCTGTAATAACATTTCTAGGGTAAATTAAGTAGATACTGAAATGTCTCCTTGCCTTACCTCTTTAACCCCTTGTGTTCACATATTTATTCTCCATATATTTCCTGAAAGTATTAGTAGAGAGAATTTGACAAAACATCAAAGCACTTTCCCTGTTGTGATCATGTTATGAATTCTCATAAACCTTTCTCTTGATGATGTATGAATGATGTCGGGAGAAAATCGATTTGGTCAGTCTTGGCATGTACCAATTCAAAGTAGACAGACTACAAATTATATTAGTTGCTGAAAAATATATATCTACGTGTCGCAACTGTTCATCAGTAGAATACCTAAAATGCGTGCAATTCCACAATTGGTTTCGGCTCCAATAAATCCTATACCAATTGCAGAACATTTTAGGAGGAGCCACCCACCATGTGAGCACAGTCAAGGACAACACATAAAAGTGAGGAAAATAACGCAAAGTAAAATTAAGACGTTAATTAACGAACTTAAATAAACAAATAATGCGCGCGCTCAAAATAAAATTGTACGCGCACACGTACCTATAACCAATAAATAAGTAATGTAAGGATACATCACATTGTGGTGAGATTATTAACTTTTAAATCTGTGGTTAAAATTTTTTTCTACTTTCCTTTCAATGAACGAAAGTTCTTTGGCAGAACGTTTGAGAGGAATTATTTAGTTTTAACAAGAGAGGATAAAGGGGACAGAGAAGGCATCCTCCATACACACCCTATTCCATTAGTAATTCGTCTCGAGTTATTTTTAAGACCACAGATCCCAAGGGGGATTAGGCAACAGCCAATCACATAGCGCGAATGTGTTCCGCGTGGATGACCCACGTTCAGAGCCACGCGTCCTTCACGAAAATGGTGGAAGACGCGGAGAGCAATATTGCTATTCGTTTTGTCGACGAAAACGACTAAAGAAGAGATTTCTGCTAAAGCTGTGTCAGCGAAACGGAAATTAAAAACGAATCACCCTTCATCGCTTGTATAAAGCTAACAGTACAGCAGGGAAATCCTTAGCACAGTGAATATTCTCTCAGGATCATTTGAAGAGAGCAATTTCTGGTTTGATACTTATTCTTTTATTAGTCTTTTATTATTCAACAAAAATAACACTTGGCGTCCTATAATAATAATAATTTAATAACTTCTAGAGCGCTATTTACATTCACTGATCAACAGCGCTTAACAACTTAAAAAAAAAAACAATAAAATTCAAATTTGTAAAACTAATTACATGTAAATGAATATTACTTGCTACTTGCTTTTATTGTAAAACGACCGGTTTCAATAGACCGGCGAAATTTTTCATTTTATTAAAGAACTGAGGTTACGATAACTTCGAGTTAAACTGATTTCGCGGGTTGTCAAAGAGTCGAGCGATTCCCTTTTCCCAGGTGAGCGCCGACTCATTTCGCTTCAATATTCAGAAATGCTCTCGATCTCGTTACGCTTTCATTGCCTTTCGCCCGACATGTTTTGCATGGCGTTTAGTCATGCGAAACCTCCACGAAACATCCACGCAGCGCGCGAGGTAACTTTATCCCGATAATAAAAATAACTCGAGACGAATTACCTATGGAATAGGGTGTGTATGGGGGATGCCTTCTGTGTCCCCTTTATCCTCTCTTGGTTTTAACTATTTTACAAGACGAAATTGTATTTCTTTGTTGTGATTTCTTTTACTTTCACCGGTAAAAAGAACTGAAAAAGGGGTAATATCTATTCAATTTAGCCAACGAGCAGGTTGTAGCCTGCGTGGCAGGCGTTTGAAAGGGAAGGGAAAGGGAGTTTTAGGCGCGAGAGAAACGTGAGGGACGCGCGAGGAAGGAGGGAGGCAAACGCCTGCCAGGAAACCATTGTTTTCTTGTTATTAACATCTACCAGGCGAATGTTAAAATCCTGATTGGTCAAAATTTGATAAGATCTAAATAGCGTGTTTTAATTGGTCACCTACATGTCATTCAGTAACTTGAGTGTTACCATTCACAACTAAACATATGTCGTAAGTGAAGCGTGTTGAGATTTCTCTACGGGATTCATCATTAGAAGTCATCAATTTCAGTTTCAAAGTAGAATAGAAAAAAGCAATTAAAGAACCGTATGAAGGAAAAGGCCTGTCAAAAGATGAGGTTTACGGACTGGTTCTGAAAAATGTTATCTCCCGACGGCTTGTCGGTTTTACTCGCCGGAAGAAAGAAACGAAAACTCATGCTGCCTGTGTGCCTGTTATCTGCTGTTTGACCCCCGGGGTTTGACCCGCGTTATCAACGGCAAGATAATTGAATGCGAAGCGATCTACAACTTTTGGCGATTTTTGACCGGTTATAAAACCGCCAGGAACTTACTTTGATAATAAATTGTTGCCTTCTTGCAGATCTTCGAAGTTCAGCTCTTCTTTCCTTGCCACTAGCGTTTTTTAGTGTGCTCCGCTGGATCCAGTTCCTGCCAGTTCGTCCTGATAGAAATTCAAAGACTGCGTGACGGCAAAGTGTTTTAATTTTTCTTAGACAAAAATTGCATTGAAAGTTGCGAAGAGCCGCTACATTTCTAATGAAATAGTTTTCCAGTCCGATTCCTTCAACAACAACTTGAATAGATTTATGCTGGATTTTATGTAACTCGGCACGCGTCGTTGCAACTTTCAAGGAAGATTCCTTCGATGGACGACCGCATTTGAACTTTGTTATAGAACCTTTGTGTTACTTTAGATTGCTTTAGGAAAACAAAAGAAAAACAGTGCGAGGAATACGACTAGAATACGTGCATCGCGGCCAGACTTATTTGACAGCTAGTCATTCACAGTTGCGTTATTTTTGTTATTTTTTTTAATTAGTAGGCGGGATGGCGAAAACAATGGCTTCCTTGCAGCCGTTCCCCTCCTCCCTCCTCCCTCGCGCGTGGTCTCGCGCCCAAATTCCCTTCCCCTTCCCTTTCGAACAC